CTGCAATATTTGTTATTTGACTAATTTTGTGTTATTCTGTACAAACGCAATATGAAGAAACTGCGCAAAAGACGGATAAGGTATAAAGTTTTCATTCATAGAGAGGGGCTATGTTCACAAATTCAAATAATGAGATTCTTATTGTATATACTGCTAACAAGTGCAGTCAATGTTAACGCTTGAAGTTTGTCCAGTTTAACGCAGCATCATCCTTGTATTGTAACTATCGTTACATTATATGAACTGCAAAAGCTTTTTTTTGCATCTATGCGCGATTAGACTAAAGAGAACGCTCTGTATGTGAATGTCCTGATGCACACACTCATTCATTCATTCCATTCCAATGATGCACACACGACGCGCAGAAAGACGCGCAACAGTATCGTGTGGCCAGACAGCGCGCCGGAATGGAATTCTCTTTCGCACTTGAACAACAATAACACAAACCATTATGCCAAAATCTCCGACTACGGAAGCCTGTTAACTCAAAGGCGCAGTGCTTTCTTGCAATTGGGTCGGTTCATGTTCACACCGTAAACGAACCGTACCAGAGATCGTTTGGAACCGTACCGAGACCACCTCTTCAGCTGGGTCTCGGTTCGGTTGTTTGGTCCGCACCCGAGTTCGATTGCTGTATTCACACCCGCCCAAAAGGTCCGCACCAAAGGGGGAAACGAACTAAAGTTCGATTCAATCGAACCAAACAAGGCAGGTGTGAATACACTTTTAAGATGTGGATTTGAATATGTTTTTTTTTATTCTCAAATAATATTTGTTGCCATGGTTTAGATTTTTTTTTTTATAAATTTGATGTGAAGTGTACACGTTTTTGCATTATTACTACAGTCAAACCTGAATACAGAGAAAGCATTTTGTTACAGGTAACATTATACAATTCTATAAAAAAAATAAAAAAAATAAACAGTAATGCTTTTTCACCGCTTTTTATTATTTATATTATTATTATTTTTTTACATATTAATTTATTATTTTTAAATAGTATATTCCATCCATCCATCTTCTTCCGCTTATCTGGGGCCGGGTCGCGGGGGCAGCAGTCTAAGCAGAGATGCCCAGACTTCCCTCTCCCTGGACACTTCCTCCAGCTCTTCCGGGGGGACACCGAGGCGTTCCCAGGCCAGCCGGGAGACATAGTCTCTCCAGCGTGTCCTAGGTCTTCCCCGGGGTCTCCTCCCAGTGGGACGTGCCCGGAACACCTCCCCGGGAAGGCGTCCAGGAGGCATCCGAAACAGATGCCCGAGCCACCTCAGCTGACCCCTCTCGATGTGGAGGAGCAGCGGCTCTACTCTGAGCTCCTCCCGAGTGACCGAGCTTCTCACCCTAACTCTAAGGGATCGCCCAGCCACCCTGCGGAGAAAGCTCATTTCGGCCGCCTGTATCCGGGATCTTGTCCTTTCGGTCATGACCCAAAGCTCATGACCATAGGTGAGAGTAGGAACGTAGATTGACCGGTAAATCGAGAGCTTTGCCTTACGGCTCAGCTCTTTCTTCACCACAACAGACCGGTACATCGACCGCATTACTGCAGAAGCTGCACCGATCCGTCTGTCAATCTCCCGTTCCATCCTTCCCTCACTCGTGAACAAAACCCCAAGATACTTAAACTCCTCCACTTGAGGAAGGATCTCTCCACCAACCTGAAGTGAGCAAGCCGCCCTTTTCCGACTGAGGACCATGGCCTCGGATTTGGAGGCGCTGATTCTCATCCCAGCCGCTTCACACTCGGCTGCAAACCGTCCCAGTGCACGCTGAAGGTCCTGGTGTGAGGGGGCCAACACGACAACATCATCCGCAAAGAGCAGAGACGAAATCGCGTGGTCCCCCAACCTGACACCCTCCGGCCCCTGGCTGCGCCTAGAAATTCTGTCCATAAAAATTATGAACAGAACCGGCGACAAAGGGCAGCCCTGCCGGAGTCCAACATGCACCGGGAAGAAGTCTGACTTACTACCGGCAATGCGAACCAAGCTCCTGCTTCGGTCATACAGGGACCGGACAGCCCTTAGCAAAGGACCCGGGACCCCATACTCCCGGAGCACCCTCCACAGGCCGCCTCGGGGGACACAGTCGAATGCCTTCTCCAAATCCACAAAGCACATGTGGACTGGTTGGGCAAACTCCCATGAACCCTCCAGCACCCTGTAGAGGGTATAGAGCTGGTCCAGTGTTCCACGGCCTGGACGAAAACCGCACTGTTCCTCCTGAATCCGAGGTTCCACTATCGGCCGTATTCTCCTCTCCAGTACCCTGGCATAGACTTTCCCAGGGAGGCTGAGAAGTGTGATCCCCCTGTAGTTGGAACACACCCTCCGGTCCCCCTTCTTAAAAAGAGGGACCACCACCCCGGTCTGCCATCCCAGAGGCACTGTCCCCGACCGCCACGCGATGCTGCAGAGGCGTGTCAGCCAAGACAGCCCCACAACATCCAGAGACTTGAGGTACTCAGGGCGGATCTCATCCACCCCCGGTGCCTTGCCACCGAGGAGTTTCTTGACTACCTCGGTGACCTCAGCTAGGGTGATGGACGAGTCCACCTCTGAGCCCCCAGCCTCTGCTTCCTCAATAGAAGACGTGACGGCGGGATTGAGGAGATCCTCGAAGTATTCCTTCCACCGTCCGACGACATCCCCAGTTGAGGTCAACAGCTGCCCACCTCCACTGTAAACAGCGTTGGTAGGGCACTGTTTCCCTCTCCTGAGGCGCCGGACAGTTTGCCAGAATCTCTTCGAGGCCAGCCGATAGTCCTTCTCCATGGCCTCACCGAACTCCTCCCAGGCCCGAGTTTTTGCCTCCACAACCACCCGGGCTGCAGTCCGCTTGGCCTGCCGGTACCTGTCAGCTGCCTCAGGAGTCCCACAAGCCAACCAGGCCCGATAGGACTCCTTCTTCAGCTTGACGGCATCCTTTACTTCCGGTGTCCACCACCGGGTTCGGGGATTGCCGCCTCGACAGGCACCGGAGACCTTACGGCCACAGCTCCGAGCCGCCGCTTCGACAATGGAGGCGGAGAACATGGTCCACTCAGACTCAATATCTCCAGCCTCCCTCGGGATCCGGTCGTGGCTCTGCCGGAGGTGGGAGTTGAAGATCTCTCTGACAGGAGATTCGGCCAAACGTTCCCAGCAAACCCTTACAGTACGCTTGGGTCTGCCGTGTCTGTCCAGCTTCCTCCCCCGCCATCGGATCCAACTCACCACCAGGTGGTGATCAGTTGACAGCTCCGCCCCTCTCTTCACCCGAGTGTCCAAGACATACGGCCGCAGGTCAGATGAAACGACCACAAAGTCGATCATCGACCTACGACCTAGGGTGTCCTGGTGCCACGTGCACTGATGGACACCCTTATGCTTGAACATGGTGTTCGTTATGGACAAACTGTAACTAGCACAGAAGTCCAATAACTGAACACCGCTCGGGTTCAGGTCGGGGGGGCCGTTCCTCCCAATCACGCCCCTCCAGGTGTCACTGTCGCTGCCCACGTGAGCGTTGAAGTCCCCCAGTAGAACGACGGAGTCCCCCGTCGGAGCACTTTCCAGCACTCCTCCCAGAGACCCCAAGAAGGCCGGGTACTCTGCACTGCCGTTCGGCCCGTAGGCACACACGACAGTGAGAGACCTATCCCCGACCCGTAGGCGCAGGGAAACGACCCTCTCATTCACCGGGGTAAACTCCAGCACATGGCGGCTGAGCTGGGGGGCTATAAGCAAACCCACACCAGCCCGTCGCCTCTCACCATGGGCAACTCCAGAGTGGTGAAGAGTCCATCCTCTCTCAAGGAGTGTGGTTCCAGAGCCCAAGCCATGCGTAGAGGTGATCCCGACTATCTCTAGTCGGAACCTCTCAACCTCACGCACGATCTCAGGCTCCTTCCCCACCAGCGAGGTGATGTTCCACGTCCCTAAGGCTAGTTTCCGTGTCCAGGGATCGGGTCGTCGAGGCCCCCGCCTTCGACTGCCGCCCGATCCTCTCTGCACCGGCCCCTTACGGCTCTTCCTGCAGGTGGTGAGCCCACTGGAAGGCGGTCCCACGTCGCTCCTTCGGGCTGAGCCCGGCCGGACCCCGTGGGGAGAGGCCCGGCCACCAGGCGCTCGCATACGAGCCCCAACCCCGGGCCTGGCTCCATAGTATATGAATTATTATTTTAATAATTTTAATAATTATTATATTATATATATTAATTATAATTATTAATTATGTTATGTTTTTCACTATTGATGTTTTTTTTCTGCATTGTGGCCGATTTGTAGAGAATTTGTGTTTGTCAATTTCCCATTCATTTCGGTCGGTCACAATTCATTGGTGTGTATGTGTATAAAAAGTGTGTATGTGTGTGGCTGAATGTGTCTGTTTTGCACTCTTGATGTTTTAGAGTGTCACCCCTTCAATGGTGAGCAGTTTTTTTCTGCATCGTGGCCAATTTGTAGATTGTACACACAAAAATTCTCAGAATTTTTGTGTTTTTGTCAATTTCCCTTTCATTTCCTATTTTTGACCGAAGAGCACAAGTGTGACTATTTTTTTTATGACCACTTAGCCTGCTCGGATCATGACCTCAATTTATTTGTGTGTTCACATACCCAATGCCATAAAAGTCACCAAGTTTCGTAACATTCCCGATGAAGCTGTGATTTTTTTTAAATTTCAAAACAGAAAATGTTTCGGTCAGAAATGACCGAAGAGCACCTGAGGGTTAAAGAACTGAATGGTTTTCAACTTTAGTTAGTGTGAAATAGTATATATTTTATTTGATATACTTTTAAATGAACATAATGTTTTTTCAACTCTTGCGACCCCATTTATATACGCTGCTCTGGAATAGGGAGGGAGGGGTATCATGTGACACACATTCTATATAACCCTTCTTGACACAACATTCATCAAAACCATTCTTTCAAAACTACATGACATATAATAGGGAAAGCCAATAGGTCAAAACTAACTGTCAAAACCACATGATCGATGGTTCACAAGGTCAAAGGTTAATCCCTAAGGTCAACCTGTCGATCAAATAGTCTTTCAATCATTTTGACAAAAGCAGGATCATAAGACCTACGCATAGGTACTGAGAGATTTGGAGCAGAAGCTCTCATGTCCACGCTCAACCTGTAGGCTGGCTTAAATGTTGGCTTGACTTCAGATTTAAACTGCGGTTTAGACCCAGGTTTATACTCAGACTTAAAGTCTGGTTTAGACTCCGTCTTATAATGGGGTTTTCTGTCCAACTTATGCATAGGAAGGGTGCAGTTGCTGTCCTCGTCTCGGTATCGTCCATCAAACGGTGTGCTATGGGGCTTGTTGGCACAGCGAATGACTCGTTTGGAGATCAGATAGATGATCTCACAGACACTGAGCACTATGCAGAGTGCCGAAGCTCCGACCATGAAGTAGGTGAAGACTCTTTTCTCTGTGGGTCGGCCAATGTAACAGTCCACAATGTTGGGACACGGCTGGACTTCACACTTCACCAGCCGTGGCAGGTAGAAACTGTCGTAGATGTGATGGAGGATGTACAAGAAGGTGATCTCGATGGCGGTCTTGACAAAAAGGCTGATCAGGTACGTCCACCACAGCCCACCGTGCTTCTTCCCCGTGTTGTCGTAGAGCTTGGCTTTAGCTCCATGCCTCACACGATACTTGCGTTCGCGCTCATCACGGTACTTCACGTGCATGACGACCATCAACGACGGACAAGTGACGAAGATGAGCTGCAGAGCCCACAGTCGGATGTGGGAAATGGGGAAGAAGTAGTCGTAGCAGACATTCGAGCAGCCCGGCTGCTCGGTGTTGCAGTCAAAGTCCTTCTGATCATCGCCCCAAACTTTCTCGGCCGCTACAACGTAAACCATCACTCTGAACACAAAAACCACAGAGAGCCAGATCCGGCCGAACGCGGTGGAATATCTATTCACCCCACTGAGAATGGTTTGAAAAGTCTTCCAGTCCATGGCTCAGAGCAAAGACAACTCACTCTTCTCTTCTCTGAATTCTTCCTCTGATCCTCTTCGACACTGAATCTGTCTGATAGAAAAAAACTGGAGGAAAAAAAATCACAATGAGTGAACTCATTCAAAACAACGTATTGTAGTAAAAAGAAATATGGTGGGATAGTTCAAGCTAAAATTCTGTCATCATTTAGGCCTACTCGCCCTCACATTATTCCAACACACTAAGGGCATCTTTGCACAACAATGATGTCCTAAAAACGGAATAAATGTCCTTTGCGTTTCTCGTGTACAGACAACAACGTTGTCAAAAACATCCCTGTTCACACGGATCCGGGAAAAACAACTAAAAAACCCTATATTATTCATGCCAGGCCAGTAGTTGGCGATGTAAAGAAAAACTACGCGCCTGTAGTCTAAACACGTAATACGCATGATGCCACCATTTTCACAAAAGTGTGTTTTTTGTTCTTTACAAAGAGTAATGTTTTCAAAAACTTGCACTTTGAAACCCGATTTCAAAAGTTTGCATTTTCAGGCCCCCAAAACGCAGTTGGCGTGTAAATAACCGGCCAAAACACATAAAAAGTTTTCCGGTTTTAGTTGAAAATGGTGTTGTGTAAACGGCCCCCAAAGGTAATTTTTTAAGAATATCCAGGCCACTCTTATCCATAGGCTATAGTTAATGGATTATTGTGGTGATTTTGGGAAAGAGACCCTGAATGATTCATTCATGAATTGAACTCATTTGATTCTTGAATTCAACTCATTGACTCAATGATCTGATCACAGCAGTTCACTAGTAGGAGAATTAACAGTGAATAATGACTTAATTTTTAATCTGTTAGTCACAGAATGCTATTGTATGACTTCAGAAGGCTAAATAGGCTACAGCAGGGATGGGCAACTTCGGTCCTGGAGGGCCACTGTCCTATAGAGTTTAGCTTCAACCCTAATCAAACACACCTGAACAAGCTAATCAAGGTCTTCAAGATTACTAGAAAGTTACAGGCAGGTGATTTTTTTTTTTTTTTTTTTTCAGGGTTGGAGCTAAATCTCTGTAGGACAGTGGCCCTCCAGAACCGAAGTTGCCAATCCCTGGGCTACAGAGTAATGATACAGACCCATAACATTTTTCATTCAACTGAATGAATGTGCTTTAACATTTTCGTGATATTTAAGTATGTAGTACACATGTTGAATCTGAGGCTGATATCTATTGTTTTTTTTGTTTTTTGTTTTTTTGTAAACTGTAGTCAAAGTAAAACGAGTGCCGCTCTCTTTCTCGCTACTTTATGTCCAGAATTTCTTTGCTATGGCTGTCGGCGGTTTTCGTTTTTAATTGTCATTCGCGGTTTTGTAACACTGATTATAACAATATTTAGTTTTGTAAAGGCAGGCATATTTATTATAATAAGATAATTATAACAGCGCTCCTAAAGATAGATTTCACTTAAAAAATTCAACTGACTAAAATCGTAAGCGTAAGTTTAATTGCTATACTTTAAAAAAGTTCAACCTCTTTGCCTTCAATTCCAGATGAATAAAATCGCTTTGATCAAGCAGAAATGACATATCAAGGTAAATGAACGGAAACGAGGAAATTATAGAGATGAAAACCTTTTTAGAGCAGATGATTGTCATTTGAACAAATTGTACAAAAACAAAATTTACTACTTACGTTGGGTGTTTCAGTTCTCTTATAATTCAACGGCTGTTAAACTCTTCTCCTCTATTTCTTCCTTGTGGATCTGGTTTAGTTAACACGCCTCACTGAGGGTGGAGTTCAGGAGACAGCTGTACCATAAACCTCTTACTTTAAAGATATAACGTTAGTATGCTTACATTGGGTGTTTCAGTTCTCTTATAATTCAACGGCTGTTAAACTTTTCTCTTCTCTTTCTTCCTTGTGGATCTGGTTTAGTTAACACGCCTCAGGGTGGAGTTCAGTATCCAGACTAGAGGAAACAGCTGTACCATAAACCTCTTACTTTAAAGATATAGTATGCCATAGCACTCAAAAAAAATACCTCATCAGTTGAATGTGTATTAATCATGTGGCAAATTTCCACATAAAATTATTTCATTAATAAAGCTATGTAATCATGTCTGTTGGATGTAATCAAACTATTTCTATCTGAATTATCACAATTACATTGACCTAATGTTATTTTCCTTAAAATCAAACTGAACTATATTACATTGACCTAATATAATTTTCTTGAAAATTAAAATTAACTATATTACATTGACCTAATGTAATTTTCTTTAGAATAAAACTTAACTGTATTACATTGTCCTAATTTCATTTTCTAGGAAATGAAACTTAACTGTATTACATTGACCTAATGTAATTTTCTTAATTAAACTTAACTGTATTACATTGACCGTTTGTCATTTTCCTTGAAAGTCAAACTTACTGTATTAAATTCAAATAATGTAATTTTTCCAAAGTAAAATGTAACTTGTGTATTACACGGACCAATGTGTTTAGGTGTAAAGAATGTCACAATCTAATGCATTATTATTATACATTACCATATACCTTCAGAAATATGCAAGTAAGCACACAAAAAAAGCAAACAAAATCAAATAGCCTTTGTTTATTCATTTCATGAATTTAAGAACTGCACAAATGGCTAAAAACAATTGTCAACACTCAATCTACTCTGTCAGGTAATCAATTAATTCACACTTTCCAATTTTTGTAATTTTTTTTACAATTTTGCTAATTTTCTTTATGCAGAAAATATATTTTAAAAAAATAATAATTTAAAAAAAGCTGATCTACTCAAACATTTTCAGCTTTAGCTTTTGGACTCTGTCTGACAGCCTTTGTCCATCCAGATTAAGAAACAGTTTTGAAAGACCTCGAAAGTATGCTGCAGGTTGGATGGGTACCTCAAATCAAGAGCATAAATTATCCATTAACCATAATTTATGCATTAATGCTTAATGGTTAATAATTAAGCATTAACCACGCTTTTGGTGGTTGTTGTGCACCTTCTGGATGGACCACACAGATCCCAAGAACAATCTCTTCTTTTGATTTCTCAGCCTGGTCACAGTCCTTGAAGTTGGAAAAAAAGCACAAGAAACAAACATTGTGTGTGTGTAATGGTTAAAACAACAAAACATCCCACTAAACTTGCATTACAAACAGAAACACTGAGGGCTGGGGCAGAATTCTATTTTTTTTTTCAGGGGCAAGATTTAAGAAGTACAAAACATAACACTTTGTGAAGGCAGCTGAATCCATCACAGGTTTTCAAACCCTGGGTCCGCGAGAGTTGCCATGATGATTTAAGGAAATTGTTAAGGAAATAAAATTATTTCAATTTTAATTATAATAACAAATAGGCTAATAAGAACAACAACAACAACTCTGAATAGAAACGCACTGAAATACATCATTCAACTAAACGCAAAATAAATCACCTCTGTCTCCTGAACCACGTAAATGCAATCATGAAACTCTTTTTTCTTTGCGCAGATGCCAGATATTAGCCTGGTAATACCAGACTCTGCTACTTCACTTTGCTTCGTACACAGAGTCTGGGATAGCATAATAGAGAAGTGTTTTCTCTCTCGCTAGGGGGCGCGTACTGAAGTTTAAAATCATTGGTTACCCGTAAGCCAATCAGATAAGTTTGTTTATGACGTATGTTATGCGCCGACACAGCCGCATCGAACCACAGACATCATGCATCGAACTCAAATCTATGATCGAACTTCCACTGTAAACACTTGATGATGCGAGCGAAATACCCGAGTGAACATGGCTGTAAACGACTTTTTTGATCTGTGAGTGATCTAATAGAATGACTGCTGCGCTTGACAGGGCACAAACGAGCAGAGAGAGAGAGAGAGAGAGAGAGAGAGAGAGAGAGAGAGAGAGAGAGAGAGAGCCCCGGCCGCGCGCGCACACTCCCACGTCTACAAACAACACGAGCGCTGTCTTGCTCTCTCTCCCTCGCGCATATTCATAAAAATCAATCGACAAGATAGTAAGAGGTTGGAAGACCGCGGTTTCACGTGGAGCATTTGGAGATTTTTAGAGATTATAGACTCTAGGAACAACATCTCAATGAACAACATCTCAACTATAAAGGCCTGTCTCATATAAGTTAGACGCCTATCTCAAGTACAAGCCGGTGCAGTTCGACGATTTGGGCAAATAAAAGCCCGGGCTATTATTTGAAGTTTTACGGTATTTAAGACCTGGAAAAGAAAAGAGACACTGACCTGTCAAAAGGCTCCCCAGTTTCTCGCTGACGATCGGTAATAGTTAATAAATTAAACTTTTCCCAAAGGGAGTAGGGCCACAACATCACCTCCATTCAAAATGTTTAATACACACTCTTCGTGTTCGGGCTTCAGTTTGCTAATGCCGGGAATATTCTCCACAACAGAGCGAATTGCATCCGCGTCTCCATATCGGTGGTCGTTTTCGATTTCCCTGACCTAATCTTAAACACGGCGCTTACCGACTACGTCACGGCTTTCAGCCCGCCCTCTGTTCGTTGATTGGCCAGGCTGTTTTCAGGCCGGTGGAAAACAGAAAGATAGGCTGCTATCTCAGACTGACTACAGGAGCGAAATGAAATTAGCGGAAGTAGGAAGTCTGACGTAGTCAGGCTAGCCAGATATAGTGATCAAATGTAAAGAATTATCGGCTCGGTATAGGCCAAAATTTTCATATCGGTGAATCCTTAATATAGTAGGCTATATATTAGGGGTGGAACGGTAGCCTAGGCTGCTACATGTATTCGTATTGAACCGAAACGGTACGGGCATCATGGTTCGGTGCATGAATTTACATGGAGAATACACGGTATAAAAAATAAATAAAACTTCCGTGCAAATTAATTAATGTAATGCGGAACTATTGTTAGATACGCGGGTTCTTTAGGGACACCTGTAGCCCCGCTTTAGGCGAGCTCCACCCATGTATGCAGTTTTTTGTCAGGTCGATGGTCCAGTGAGTGAGTCAGAGATAGCAGCACTAAGGACGAGTATGGCGAGTAGGCGACACACAAGAGTTAGAATATAGGCTACCCGGCGGCCTCTTTAAGATCGCAAGTTTGGGAAAACTTAGGTTTCCAAGTCAGTTACACT